CACCTCCTGCTCACCAGGAAACCTGTGCTACCAAAGACCAGAATCTCGGGAGCATCAACTCAGGTCTCGTTTCATTCTGAGGAAAACAATTTTAAGACAAAAAAAAAAAAAAAAAGCAGAATTGAAGGAAGAAATCAAATGCTTGTTAAAAAGTTTGTTAAGAAGTGGTCACTGAAGCTGCCTACGCACATTGCTAAGGAGCAAAGACCAAATGTTGACTCCCCCTAATTCAGATCATTACTTTAGAGGAGAGTCAGCAAAGAACGTCAACTACAAAACTCAAACTTCAGGCCATGCATTGCTCTTGAAAACATCAGTGTACTTTATTAAGCTAACTTCTGCCAGAGCTGACGAGCAACCATTTGCCCTTCACATCTGAGATGGGCATGGGGCAGCTCGATGTCCCATGTGTCAAGGGAAAGGTTCCCCGACTTTATAAACGACAACAAAAACTCAGACACCCTTAAAGCTTCCCGAATCTGATCTACAACTATTTTTTCTTGACTAAACAAGAAGACACCTGAATGTAGGTGCCAACGTCCAGCGCTCGGTCCTGCAGGAAGGACACCACAACCTCACCTCCACACACAGAGAAAACTTCAACTGAAAACAAGGCAACAAAGCTCTAGAAAGACTTTTACTTTTTCTCTGATCAGAACGTCATTAACTTTTAAAAAAGATTGCTACAGCTTGAGAGCTGGTCTAATAAAAGAAAATGATGCTTTTCTTCTCCTCTCACTATTACATGGGAAAAATGATATTTTTAAAAGGGGAAAGCATAAGCATTGCAAGAGATGCACCACTAGGTGTAAATGTGTCTCAAAAGAAAATTGACTTTAACTTCAGCTGTCTCTAAACATAAGCAGCAACAAACTTCCAGAACTAAACCGCGTGTCTGAAAATGATTTTATGTCAAGCCACACGTGCTTGGACTGAGCAGGCACCCCTTCACATGAAGCCTCTGGCATGAGCCAGAATGAATTTCCAGCCATCACGAGCGTTTCAATAAGACTGTATTACAAGGCCCTGCTGATTTCAAAGAGCAGGTAACTCAGTATTTCATTTCAAGCACCTAAGTTATGGTAAGGTTATGCAGCAAGGCAACGTGGCAAGTGAGCAGACAAGTCACAGCCCCACTGGGGACCAAGCCACCAGTCCACCACCAGGCTTTGGTTCTGGTTCCACCTCCAGAAGCAGAGCTACTTGACCCCTCTTCAACACAGACCACCTCACGGAAGTTAAGGGCACAAAAACCTTTAAATGAGGGAGGGACACCTAGAATAAGGAGATGTTCAATCACACCTGCACTGAGGGCAGTCTGGGTAACAAAAAGGAAAATCTATAAAAACTTCATGCACCTCCAGGCAGATGGGCATCACCATGGGAAGACACCCATCTGAGCTGAGGAGCAAGGAGGAGGAGGAGGAAGGGAGGCTGAACCTCCACCTCCAGCACCACAGCACCCCTTCTCTGTCCACCACCAAGTGTCAAAGTCCTTCTCTCAGATGCCAACCTTCCCCTGGGGGTGCCCAGTCCTGTTACACAGATGGAGCCATTTAAAGTGTGGGTTTTCCCCCAAAAAAATTGTACTGTCACACGCATGAAAGGTTTTAGTGACTTCTGGCACACGTCCCTATTGCTGCAGCCCCAGCCTCACTAACTCACCTGGGACTGCCCACGGTAAAGAGCAGCCACCACAGCACTTTCTTTTGACAAGAAACACAACCTTTGGGTGGCTGCTGCTGTTCTTCACAGGTCACTTCGCTTCTCGCAGTGAAATAAATTCCATTTAAAAAAAAAAAAAAAAAAAAGTCACAGGCAATAAAACCGATGCAACCAAAAGTCAAAGGAAAAAAACGCAGTGAAATAAATTCCATTTAAAAAAAAAAAAAAAGAAAAGTCACGGGCAATAAAACCGATGCAACCAGAAGTCAAAGGAAAAAACACCCTGCATTTACTCACAAGTCACATCATGTCACAACAAGTGATGGAAACATAAAATCTTCCAAAAGAAAACAACAATGACTTATTATTACAGCGTTTTGCAAACTTACAAGCATATGTTTTCAGCTGACCTACTTATTGTCTTATAATTGACTTCTGTCCCTTAAGGGGGTTCTTAAATATAATTGAGCAGCACCTGCCACGTAAGAGGAACAATTCTGGACACCCCTTCCTTGCTCAAATACCGCACTTAACAGCTTCAGCACCAGGTTTACTCACAGCCGTGGCCATGCCACTGGAGACAGAGGTGCTCGCCCAACAACCTGGGAACCTCCTGCACCCCAGGTCACTCCAGGACACGAGTGATCTTGCTCACCGGGTAGGTCTTTGGGTTTTTTTTATACCAGCCCTATGATTTTCAGCACATTCCTATCTGTTTCCACTCACACATCATTCCATATGTGTCTTCCAGGGCAGAGTTTCCCAGAGCAAGAGGGAATTAGGGGCCCTGCTGGCTTCCCACACTGGTGATGCTGGAGCAGGGAGCTCAGCCCTTGGTGACACACACGTGGGACTTGGCCCCATGAGCTGCCTTTGCTTATCACCGTGTGGAACTGACAAAAATGCAAACTCTAAGGCTCATCCAAACACTATTCCTGTACTAAATTAGATTGGCCAATGGATTGAAACCAAAAATTAAATGCAACACAATGAAAAGTCAAGGAAAGAGTTCAAATCTCAGGGAACCTGCGCCTCTCTGACACAAAAGGAAACCAATGATAAAACTTCCATCAGTATTTCGGGCTTGGGCAAGAAGCTGGTGCACAATTCTTAATGCATATGAGATCTACAAAAGATTAAAACTCTTTTGGGACACTCATTGCCAACCCTACTGACAGAAATTCTATTTTTTTTTTAAATTATACCTACAACCACCACAACGTTACTTGAAGCTAATTCCTGCTTTTAAGACTTTTTGTTTCCACTCATGCTTCTAAAGCCTGATTGCCATCAGGGAAAACTCCTCAGCTGGGGGAGAGGACATAACGCTGGGCAGCTGGGACTGCTCGGCATCTACGGAGCCAAAATCCCCCCTTCTCAAAGAAAAACCACAAACTGCAAAGGTTGAGAAAACCGTCTCATTCAAGCACTAAAGGAGCAGCAGAAGCACCGTTGGGCAAAGGAAACATTGTCATAAGGAGCTGAATTGTCCCATGGTGAGGAACCTCACGTGAAGGAGCAGTGAGGCCCTCACCCCCACATGTCTCCAGCTCAGCCCCACCATGGGACAGACAACCCTGGAGACTCAGCTCACACAATTCCAATGAAATCTTCTCGCCCATCTCACAGCGAGAGGACTGCACTTGCCTGTTTAAAAGCTCCTGAGGTCATCACCCCTGAAACTGACAGCAATTTGTCTGTTGCCTTCTCATTTGGGGTAAGTACGAGTCAATTTCATGGTGCCCCTCAAACCTGTTACCTAATTTAAAGCATGTTAATGTAAGGCCCTGGAGCTGGGGTAAGAAGCAAAAGCAACTCTCCCATCTCCCCAAAGAAGACCACAGACAGACACTGAAGCACTCACAGAGGATCCACGTCCCAAGACACAGGACCTAAACTAAGTACAAAGCCCAGAAAAGGCTCCTGCACGTTTCACACAGGCATGAGGTGTGTGCTCAATGCCATCCCTGGAATTCAGCTGCGATGCCCAGCGCCTAGGTGTGAGGAGCCAGGCTCTTCCACACAGCATGAAATCCACCTCTTGAACCAACACGTCTGACGAGCTGGGAGATTCTCCAGGACATCTCCAAGAAGGGCCCACCACCACCTCAAGCATCATCTCAACCGCCACAGCAGACCGACGCAGGCTAAAACTACCTTCATATTTATTTATCCTTTATCCATATTTATTTATCCTTGTTTCAACTCTAATCTACGTGGCTGAGATCACATTAAATGACAAATTCCTACTGTGGGTCTCCCATTTCCTTCTGCTGATGCTGGAAACGGGGACCTGCCAGCCCCACACCGCCGTGGATCCGCTCCGGGTTGGAGCGACGATGAGGAGACCCCACAAAGCAAAATAAAACTTCCCCTGGGTTAATTAACTCTCTTTCTCTGCCAGACACAGACCTCACAACTTCCACGTCCTGAGCAAAACCCACTTCCACGCCACAAGTGTCCCCCAATTCCTCAAGGGCCCAGTCCCGCTTTGTTTGCACTCCCTTAAATTTCCACTAAAGCCACCGAGGACTCCGGGCAGGGGTGTGTGAGGGACAGGCTTGTGCTCCAAGAAACGTCCTACTTCCTTCCCTTCTGAAGCAGATTAATAACAGCCACTCTAAGCAAGCATCTTTTGGGAGGGAAAGCGATGCTCCGGTGAGGCTCGGGATGGGACGTTCTCCTCTGTTTTACCGGGGGAGAGAGGGCAGGAGAGAGCGGGAGACCGGGAATGGTGAAGGAAAGGGTTTCATCTAGATCTCCCGCACAGCTCCGGCGGCGCCAGGGGAAGCAGAGCTGCTGTATAATTAGCACCGACGAGCCCTGAGCCCCAAACCCAGATGCTCTTGACACCTTTGCAAAAGCCTCTTTTTTTCTTTTTTTTTTTTTTTTTTTCCCAGAGACAGCTCTTTGAGCCAGAAGCTCAGCAAAAACCCCAGGTTCCCTTCTCTCAGGAAAGCGTCTCGCCCTCCACGTTTCAGAGGGAACAACCAGAAAAGCAGCCTGAGGTAGAACTGCCGGCGGGGAGCGAAGGCAAAAACCCTACCAGAATTAGAATAAATTACGAATTCAGGCAGGGGGTGGGGTTTTTTTAGGCCTTTCTACTCATTTTTGGGGGCTCTCTGGGCTGATAGTTCCGCTGCCCTGTGTCCCCCAAACTCCCCGGCCACGGGCGCCTGAGGGGACGAAGCGGCCGCCACAACTTGAAACCCACCGCCACCCCTTTTCCCCACCTCAAAACGCAGCGTTTTGTTAAAAAATGAGGGAAAAGGGGGGCTTCGTTGAAAGGTTAATTTCCCCACCAAGGTGTATACACCACACACACCCCTTTTTACCTGCCGCAGGATGAAGCTGGTGGAGGTGGTGCTGCCATCCGAGCGCTTCAGCCGGCTGCGCCGCGTCGCCGTCCCCCTCGTCACCTGCCGAGACAGACATGAAGGTCGTGTCACCCCACGCCACCACCTTCTTTCTTCCTCCTCCTCCTCCTCCTCCTCCTCTCACACCCTCGCCCTGTCGTGTCCCCCCCACCCCTCCCCTCCCGCCTCAGGCCGGCACCCACCGCGGCCATGGCGGCCAAGGATCGGCGGTTTCTCCTCAGCCGCCGCCGCCGCCGCCGCTCTGAGGGGAGGCTGAAGGCGGGGCGAGGCGGGGCTGGGACACGCGTGGCCGCCGCCCCGCGGGGCGCCCTCCCCATCTCTCCTGGAGCTCCTTGAGGGACTGGAAGGGGCTCCAAGGTCTCCCCGGAGCCTTCTCTTCTCCAGGTTGAACCCCCCAACTCTCTCAGCCCCCCCTCCCAGCAGAGGGGCTCCAGCCCTCCCAGCATCTCTGTGGCCTCCTCTGACCCCACTCCAACAGGTCCACCTCACAGAATCGTTGAATCGTGGAACCATCTAGGTTGGAAGGGAGCTTCGAGATCGTCTAGTCCAACCATCAACCTAACTCTGACAGAAAAAACGCCATCACTGACCCATGTCCCTCAGCACCATGTCAACCCGACTTTTGAACACCTCCAGGGATGGGGCCTCAACCCCTTCCCTGGGCAGCCCATTACAAAGCTTCATAACCCTTTCCATGTAAATATTCTCCCCAATCTCCATCCTAATCCTCCCCAGGTGCAACTTGAGGCCATTTCCTCTTGTCCCATCACCTGTTCCTTGGGAGCAGAGACCGATTCCCCCCTGGCTACACCCTCTTTCCAGGGAGTTGTAGAGAGCGAGGTCTCCCCTCAGCCTCCTTTTCTCCAGGCTGAACACCCCCAGCTCCCTCAGCCGCTCCTCACAAGACTTGTGCTCCAGACCCCTCACCAGCTCCATTGGTGTCCTTCTGCTGTTGGTGGCTCCAGAGCTGGAGGCAGCACTGGGGGGGATGTCTCCCCAAAGCAGAGCAGAGGAGCAGGATCCCCTTCTTTGAGGTCCACCTCATCTGGGCATGTTTAGTTTGGAGAAGAGGAGGCTGAGGGGAGACCTCATTACCCTCCACAACTCCCTGAAAGGAGGGTGGAGAGAGGTGGGGGTTGGCCTCTTCTCCCAAGTGAATAATGACAGGAGCAAAGGAAATGGTCTGAAGTTGGGGCAGAGGAGGTTTAGATGAGATATTAGGAAGAATTACTTTCCTGAGAGGGTGGTCAGGCACTGGAACAGCTGCCCAGGGAGGTGGTGGAGTCACCAACCCTGGACATATTCAAGAAACGTGTAGACGTGGCACTTCAGGGCATGCTCTAGTGCCCAAGATTGTTGGTTTGTGTCTCTATTTGTGGGTTGTGTTTGTTGTTGGGTTTTTTGTTTGGTTTTTTGTGTGATTGGACCCAGTGATCTCAAAGGTCCCTTCCAACCATGAAGATTCTGTGATTCTGTGATCCCCCACCCCATCTGGCTGCATCTCACATGGGATGCTCCTGCTACATCCCACATGGGAACGTGGCCAATGGGAGATGCCATGGGCAAACACCGGCCCCCGAGCCTGGTTTAACCTCCTCAACCTGAAATGGAGCCACAAGTGCCACCACTACGTAAAACCCTGGTGCCACTCAACACTTCAAAGTATTGAACATCATTAATTTACATGACCTGCCGGTCAGTGCCACTATTTCCAGGGCAAGGAGAAAAAACGAAAAAGAAGATAAATGAGGAGATGAAGTGATTTGCGTGAAGGGAAAGAGGGAATCTGGGGAAGAATTGGAAGCAGGACCTGGATTTCCTGCTTCCCACTCCTGTGCTGTAACCGCAGGCACATCGCACCTCCCACTGACATGAGTAAGAGCAGAAACGTGTGCGTCTTTGAACTGATCTCACTTGTACACCAGAAAGCTCCCAACACACACACACACACACACAGAGCAAACAGTCCTTCCTCTCTTTCCATAGACACAAACCGCCCATTTTTTTCCAATTCCGTGGATGAGATCAGGCAGCCTGCTTTCAAGATGAATGTGGGTCATGAATGCTGTAGCTCTAAATTAGATTATTTTTAAATTCAGTTTAATCATTAAATTAAGGAAGGATAAGGAAGGATACTTTATACTTTTCTTTAAAAAAATTAATCTTAGTGGGACTGAGCATAGGGCCGACCTCCCAAGCAGAAGTTTCCTTCCTTCCACCCAGGAAACTAACTCACCCTCATCCCGCTTTAAGGAGAGGTAGAAACGTTCAGGTTGAGATCTGAAATGAAAACCAAAGAACCATTTGCCAGCAAATTCAGTAAACGTTTGGCTTCGTAAGATTTAGATCTGCAGCCTGAAGTGGCCCCAAATCAGCCCACTGGGGTCAGTAACTGGAAAGGGCTGTAAATAAATCACCGCACTTCATCATTTATGCCTAAATAACAATTAATGGCACTTGGTGTCCATTTTTTGGTGTCTGGTCACAGCACTGGCTCACACAACTCACGGGGCTTTTGCTTTATTTTCCCGGGAAGGACTTCACCACGTCGCAAAGAGAAGACTCCTCACCCCCAGCTGTTAAACAAACGTGTTTTTATTCACACAAGGCAACGCACACGGATTGCAGACCCCAAGGAAACACATCCCCCCGTCCTCATAACTGCAAACTCTTGAAGACAATTTTCTGTAAGAACTGTGGTACATCTAATAACCAGGACATAGTCACCTTAACCCCCCCACCGCCGACAAAACAGCAGCAGAACCTTGTTCTGGCTCCCCACTCCAGCCCAGTGCCACCAGGTCACCAGAAGATGGTGATGGGAGTGGAGCTGAGAGAGCTCAGGACCTGCCCCAGTGAATTTTTCACCAATTCAGAAGGGTTTGAGTCAGCTTCACGTCAAATTTAACTTGGCAAGAGCCATCGGTTCTCAAAAGTTATTTATTCGTCCGTCCAACAGACGTATCACAGTGTTCAGTGTAAGCAAGAGTAGTGCCTATTATTTCTTAGAAAAGATGCATAGATTAAAATAAGGACAAAAAACCACCTTCCTATCAGAAAATAATTCCTGTCAGAGATTGCAGCTGCAGCCACGTCCCCTTCAGCTCCCCTTTCTTGGGGACAGCCTTCAAAAGAACTACACGGTTCCACAAGTCCACGAACACCTATGAACAAAAACCCTGAAGTAAAACAAACACAGAACATCATTTTTTTAACGTTTACTCATTACAGAAACAATCTGATTTTTTTTTTTCTTTTAAACATTGCAATTTCAGTACCAAATGGACCAGACAACGCATCCGTCACACCATAGCTGTGTGAAAGACCCCGATTCCTCCCAACACGGTTCTGCCAGGTGGAAATACAGACAAATTCAGTTGTTGCTTCGGGCTGACTATAACAACTCAGACGTAACAGGTTGCCAAATCACACCAGAAAAAAAATTTTTCTAGTATTGATATTCTCAACGCCCAGGAAACAAGTATATTACAATACAATCCTCATTATAAAGTTGCAGAGGTTTCTATGTTAACCATTAAGGGTTTCTATGAAAAAGCTGAAGTTATCTACCCTCGATTCCTGATACAAAACAGCAGGTAGAAACCTAGTGTAGAAATTCGAAGTTAGAGAAATCCTTTGGCAGCATGTTCAGTTACAATCAGGCCTTAAAAATAAATATGATAATGTATAGAAGTATGAAGAGGAAAAAAAAAAAACAACGATCCTATTAACACCAAAACCCTCTAAATACACTATTTTAATAATAATTAAATTATTTTACACTATCTACAAGTTGCATATCACAGAATTAAGAATAGAAGAGACAACAGAGTGACAAATCCTGCGTTTATAAAATTTCAGGCTTTGACAGGACACGTATATGTAGCTGTGTAGAAAATCTCAGACAAATGAGTATATACATTATTTATATTTAGTAATGAACTGAACGTAATCAAATCCCATGTGCTTAGGCATCTCAAGGTAAGATACCCAGTATTTCTGCTGGACCAAGGTTTTGAATCCAAGAAAAATACCTCCTTTAATCTCAATTTTCTAACCAACAGGGAGAATCCATAGAATTGACACCAAGGGTTAGTCTGACTACACAATGACTTAGAACAAAGTAAACTCTTACCATAAAACCAACACAATCTCCAAACAAAAAGAATTTTGAACAGCAGCATTGAAAGAAATTATTCTTCTTAAAGAACGCAAGGAACGAGTTATCAAAATACTTCAGTATTGCAACAGGTGTTATTTATGCTAAGGTACTTCGGGGGGAAGGATGAAGACAAATTAAAGTCATGTCAAAAGGAAAGACAAAAGCTTCCTTCCAATTGCACAGATTTAAATAATAATAATTAAAAAAAAAAAGATTTAAAGAGCAGGTACTGAATACCTTATTGCATAAGCATGAGGCTGCAAATGAGTAAGGTCATGATACCAAATAATTAAATAAAAAGTAAAAGAAATGGAGGTGGTGCTGAGTGAAGGGTGTTTTTTATTACTCAACAGCAGTCTGCAATCTGATACTTCTCATTTGGTAGAAAATGTATCCACCAAACATACTTATTTAAACATCTGGGAGTTTCATGCATTTAATCGAGATGTTTTTATCGGTGATTTGCTTCCATTATTTTCCCAATCTAAAGATTATTACTCATCATAAAATTGTTAAAATAGGTATAAACATGACTATGCTAAAGTAAGAAGAATGAAGTGATTTTATTTCAAGAGACTGAAACAATAAAATAAAGAAACCCCACATTCCTGAAAGATAATTCAGCTCATCTGCTCCTCTTGTACAAACCCCACCCATTAAAAAAAGTGCATCAGGAAGAAATTCTCAGATTTCTTTTTTCAGCCACCAAACGCTACATTTCCATGGTTTCAAGGCAATTCCTTTCTTAAAAGACTCGTTTGTTATTTTCAATATGCAATCACTCCTTGTATTAAATGAGTACAGTCCCACTTTTTTCAATATGCAATCACTCCTTGTATTAAACGAGGAGTACAGTCCCACTGATAAAGCATGTGTATCCTGCCTGTACAGATTGGATCTTAAATACACCTTTTCTAAATGGTTTAATGGTTTATCTGACCGCAATTGGCATTCATCTAGCCATGGAAAGGGTGGCAGAGAAAGGAAATCCAAGAGAGGCAAGAACCTCCTGGTCCCATAAAGACGATTCCTGTTCCACAAGGCAGATTCTCACAGTCTTAAGCTTCAAACATTCCTGAGCCCCCTCCTTCACCCCAAGGAACCACAATACTCCTTCACTTCTAAACACATCCGAAAAGGGAAAGGAAAGCGGAGCCGTACAAGTTTCTGGCTGAGCACCTTGTATCCAGAGAGAGCCCACACAGTCAGCTGGGAGCATCTCGCAGAGGAGACTTGTGCGTGCGGTGCCGCCTCCGCCGGAGAAACACAAGCCAGTTCCAGCAAAACTCTTTCCTTCAAGAGAAACGCAGCAGGAGGTCTCCGTAGTTTCCCCAAAAACCTAACGGGCAGCACTGTAAAAATCTCCTCTCTCACGTTTCTGTAGGTACACACTGTCACAATATCAAATTGTTTCCTCTCCCCTCTCTCCTCTCCTGACCCCGTGCAGTTGTTCCAATCCCACGTCGCGCTCGCTACGGCAGCGGGGAGAGAAGGCGGCGAATAAATCAGCGGAGATTCGTTAAAGCCACTTGGAAAGTTAAGATACCGGAGGAGGCAACGCATAACAAGAGCAACGCGTAACAGGGATTAAGCATCCTCAAGTTTTCAGAAAAAAACATTTGAAAGAAAAAAGTCTTTTTCTGGACAATATTTTAACTTAAGATTTGCAAGCGGCGTTTCTTGAAACCACTGAAGTAAGGGCTCAAAGTAATCTGAAATTATCTGAAACCATCAGCTAATCTAGTTCAAGCTATCTTTACGCAAAGGCTTAACAAACAGGTCTGATGCATATTTTTACCCAGCATCACCCCAATTCAGTAAAGTTGGGTTATTTAAAAGGAAAATGTGGTTTGATATCCGTGACAGGTTTTCATGGAAATCGTTTTAGGTCAGGCAACCTTTATTGACTAATTCAGCCACGGGAGCCGGTTTGGTTTTAAAGGAGAGGCTGTTGGTGGTAATTGGTTTGTTGCTGCAGGAGGGAATGAGGTGGAACTGCCAGGGGGTAGCCTGGTCCTTGGGGCAGAGTGGAGGTGTTGTTCTGGTAGGCTGCCATCTCCACCGCCAGCCCCAGGGGCTGAGGGCTGTAATTCGCGGCGCCGGCGGCCGAGGGAAGGGCAGGGCTCTGGGTCACGTACGGCTGGTTCAACACAGAATCCGGTCCTGGGCTGCAACGAGACAAACCACATCTAATTCTGACAAGTTCATGTCCATTCATCCAACAAGCAGATTTGCAAAGAACAACATTGCTTAGCTGTGTGCTTTCAAAATGATCAAACAGTATCACGTCACCGTAAATATCTCAAGAACACACAACCTCTAGACAAAGCAGTAAAAGTACTCTCAGGAAGGAGATTTAACAGTTTGCTGAAGCAATACCTTAAATACGCAGCTTGAGCTGGCTGAGCTGCTCCAGAAGAATTGATACTTTGAGGCAGAGACCTCAGCTGCCCCATCTGGTCAGGTCCTAGGCTGTAGCCTGGGGAGATGCTGACTTGGTGGACACCCTGCATCATGTAGTTCCCACTGGGTGGCTGCACGGGGTACGACTGTCAATAAAAAAAAAAACACCCACGTTGTATACCTTTTCTTTTCAATTAAGTAGCAGCAAATGTGGTACAGGGTAGCTCTACAATGAACGGGGTTCAAAGGCTGAATCACAGAATCTTCTAGGTTGGAAGGAACCTTAAAGATCATCTTGTCCAACCGTCACCTAACTGACAAAAATAGACACCCACACAACAAACAAGGAGCATCATCACTAAACCAGACCTCCCAGCACTACATCAACCTGTCTTTTGAACACCTGAACATCAATTGATTTTTCCAACCAGGTTCTAAAACCAAAACACGTAACTTCTCAAAACACATTTTAAATAGGCATCCTTTACTTCATCAGAAGGTATCTTCCCAGAAACGGACTGTTAACGAGGTCAGCGCTTAATATCTGAAAGAAGAACCTTTCGTACCATGTATAAGACCTCTGCCCCTCCCAGAAACCTTCTTTCTTTCTCTCTAATTTGCCTTGTCTTTAAAATGTTCTATCCTTGCATATTTTGAGGCCCAGTGTGGAGTAGGAAGACGAGCACCACACGAGATTTGTTATTTAACACATTCTGGAAATGAAAACTGAAGACTATCCTAAGACTATAACACGAAAGGAAAGGAAAAACATTTTTTCTTGCGTTTCTGGCTTAAGGCAATGAAAGTCTTGACTGAAAATTTGGATAGAACAGGTGGTACGGTCTACAGAACATGCTTAGCCTAGAGAAGTCTCTGCTGCTCGTTGGGTTTGTGCTGAGCTCAGCACGGTCAGTGTTACCTCACATTTCTCACCGCTGGAAGCTGGAAGCACACATCTTGGAAGGAACAGTAAGCTCCAGTTGCCTTCTGGCTTAAATTACTTTTTAACCTCCAAATATAATGAATTTTCCATCGCTACCAGCAGTTAAGGACATGAAATTACTTTTAACTGACATATTTTCAGATCTAGCAGTTGCCATGGCAACTATTCTTTTCCCACTGAACAATTAACATTAAAGTGAAATTCACTTAAAAACACTCATTCTACACTTTCCTCCAAAAGGATCTTTAAAAATCTCTTTCTCCTCCATTTTTGTTTCCTTAAGACATCAATATGGCACATTAGAGATGCTGTAAAACAGTTTTGAGCAACTACACCCCCTAATACAACATGTTCATTTCTTAAGAACAAAAAAGGGAGCTAAAACCAGACTGGGGTTTCTATATTTAGAAAAAGCACACTGCACTCATGATTAATGCACTAATATTCAAGTTCACTCGCATCCCCGCTATTAGATAAGGGGGTAACATTTTACTTGAAGATTGAAGACATGACTAACAGCAAGAACATCCACCGAGCTGCCCAAACCACACAATCCTAACTGGACAAAATTAATCACGGAAGGAATCTTTATGTATTTTCAACAGAGTACAGCAAGAACATCCACCGAGCTGCCCAAACACACAATTCTAACTGGACAAAATTAATCATGGAAGGAATCTTTACGTATTTTCAACAGAGCATCTTTCTGTTAAGTAGGGCAAAATTAACAATTATCCCTTAACGTACAAGCAGGTAACTGCAAAGCAAAGTACTCTCTTCAACTGCGTAAATGATATTTTATTCTAAAGGCTATAAAAAGTCACCAGGCAATGTCAGATTGTTCGTAGGCTAGCAAGAAAGCACACGCTTCATTTTTGCTGTCATCTTTTAAAATAGAAATCTATATCAGGAAAGTCTCTATTTCCAGCCAAGGGATACTGACCTGCACCGAAACGCCTGAAGATGTAGGTGGGTATTGTGCAGGGTGGTGGAGCTTCGAGTAGGCTGAATACATGGGGGCTTCATTCATCAGTTTGTTATAGAGCTCCAGAGCTTCTAGAACTTTCACATTCAATTCCGATAATTCCGAATGTTTCCTGTTTCAGAAGAAATGCACACAAAGACTAAGTTTCTCTACCAAGCCCTAGACAGAGTGCAAAAGGCTACGGTCCAAAAAAGCCAATATAAAGCTACACCCAGTAACTTCTGCAGTGAGTTTTGGACTGCAGCATTCAAATCTGACTACGTACCTAAGCATTAAAAAAAAAAAAATAAAGGTGGAATTGTCAAAATGTCTTTCTTGCAAGATTTTCTAGCTTAGGAGATGAAAGTACCAAAATAAAATAATTAAATACAACTGCACAATTTAAAGTAAATCATAGTAAAACCTGCAGAAGGAACGTTACAGCTCACCTATCTATCTCTTCCAGTTTTTCATCTATCATTGGACCCATCTGTTGGCAAATATCTGTGAAGACAAAAGTGTGAAGGTAGTTAATGTCTTACACAATTAAAACTTTAAATGCAGCCAGAAATTACTTTAACCAAGTACCCTAAAACCACATATGAAATTGGGGAGTGCATCTAGTCATCCCATGTGTCCCATTCCTCCAGCCCAAACCGACAGGAGAAATACCTCAGTTACTCTGCTTCGTCATCCTCTTTCCCTCCACCCTCTTGAACAAAAAGCTACTGACGAAAAACATGGAATATTTGGTATTTCTGCTTGCACTGTGCAGGACTAATGACTGTCACCTCCTACTGGAACATCTAACCTCAACTGCCTGTGAATCCACCTTGATCAGTTGGACAGTAGAGCTTCCTTTACCTCCCCTTTTTCCATTCCAGGCTCCTTTTTTAATGTACGCTCCATAGTTATTACACACCTTGAACTAATTGGCTCCTAAGTGAACTGAGCTTCTCCTCCCCTCCCAGCCAGCAGTCTTTTGGAGAAATTTTGACACAAAAATCAATTGCTTGTTTCAAGCAGAGTTTTTATACGTGGCTGGCTCTGGCAAAGCTCAGGCATCGCAGAGTAGCTGGAAGTTATGCAAATCACTCTGCTAAACACAGAGTTGGCTTGGCAACTATTAGAAAATTTTAGAGTTATACATATAGCCCCACCCTCCCACTGTGAACCAAGCTATTCTGCAGCAGGCTATTAGCACAGACCACGGCTTCTCTAAGCTTAAAATAAATGCCAAAGAACTACCAGCTCAATCCACAAAAGGTGGAGAAGAAATACAAAAGCTAGGGAACTTAGTGCTCAAAGTACCTTCTGAGTCTAGAAGATCTGGAGAATCAAGCTTTAAATCTGTAGGATCTATACTCTGAAGTACCTGCAGTGTTTTATCCATCTTATCCTGAAAGGTGAAGAGAAGAACAGTTATTTTTGAAGCGTGGTAGAGAATGTTTTTCAAATTTTCAAGTTCCTTATATAAAAACAATTATCTGCTGACATTCAGTTACAAAAGAAGGTTTCAACCAGTGTAAAAATTTCGGCAATTTTTGATATTGAAAGTGACTGCCTACCTCATCTATATAAACTGGCTCAGGTTCTACTTTCTTAACTTCTTCTGCAGTATCCTCGGGAACAGAGTTTTGATCCACAGTTGCTGAAAGAACAAACATTAATTTCTTTTTTGCAGCTGTGTTAGTATGCTAACTCAAAATACACGTTTTTCCCCTTGCTTGCCATCAGATCTTTAAATGAGAGAGAGATTTGAGTAAGTACTTTAAGCAGAGATGTGCCCAGCTGCTGGAGAAGGGACAACATTCCAATAAGCTGCTTCCTTCAGGCTTTTAGCCCGATTATGAACCCAGGCCCAGCAAGGGAAAGGCTCTTGAGTCATATTAGCATCTAAAAACCACCTCCAACACACACACAGTTACTTTAAGCCAAGCGTTAAGATTTATTTTGGTACCATGAGCACGAATAAAGCTAACAATGTGATCCTTACAAACCACTGACATGGGTATGGATGTTATTCTATACTTGGTCTGAAAAGAGACTTTGACATTTTAAATGGCAAGTGACTGGATTCAGATGCAAAAGGGTATTGACAAAGAATGATGGTAAATTGAACTGAGTTTCTGTAAAAGGAAAAAGGCAACAACTTAGAAGAGAATCAGAAGACAGAAATGGTTGAGCTACAGCAGCAGTATAAACTTGCTTGTTTGAAACAAGGGCAGGATTTCTCTCTAGATTCTTTCCTTCGGCTGATTTCAGGAAATTATTTTGTTGATGGGCTAATTAGTAGTTCCACCATCAACCCACCTTTCTAAAATCATCTGGCAGGTTTCAAAGCCAACTTACCTGCCTCGGGTTCCACAGTTAAGTCAGAAGTCACAAAATTAGATGGGAACAGTCCTACTCCTCTGTGATTTTCACCTTTCCACCAATTGGTGTCACTGGGGAAATAAAGATGTGTTAATGCTACCGTCAGCGACGTATTTTGGGCTTTTGACAGAAAACCTGTGCTACCTAATACACCATTTCCCTGTGTATCCAATAACAAAGGCAAAGAAGAACATTCGTCAAGATTTGACAGAAAACCTGTGCTACCTAATACACCGTTTCCCTGCGTATCCAATAACAAAGGCAAAGGAGAACATTCATCAAGAAGAGCAGCAAAGCCAAGGAGCTGCCAAAGGGCAGAGGAGTGGGAAGGAAGAAGGGATCAGGGGAGGTAATTTGGTAGCAATCACTCAAATTTAGCACAACTCTTCAATTCTTTAGATTGATTAGATGATAGCCCATTACAGCTTCACCTAGAAGTTTGCAAGAAGTACACAAATAGTGGGGACTAACATTAGAAATATAATTGATGTGTCACAGCCTATGAAATTAGAACAGCACTAACAGGGAAGAACTTCTGCTTCTTAGCTCTCATTGGGGCAACAGTGACAACAACAATAATTATCCTAAGTATCATTTCTTAAGTTTTATTCTTAGCAGATTTGATGCTTGATAGCCAGAAACTTAACAATTTCTGGAAGAAGCTGGAATTTAGCACTGTAATGCCTAAGGATATTCTTATGAATATACTTATCATTTGTAATAACCAAACAACATTTATCTTAAAAACTCCAAACAAATTGGACCTACATATTGAAATACCCAACGTAATACAGTGAGGTTCTCCCTGCGCCAAAAATGACTTGAGGTCAAAAACTTGGGGTATGGAAAGACTCGTGGAAGATAAAGGGATTTGAGGGAGTGAAAATATACATTTCTGTATGAGAAAAAGCATCAGAGGAAAAGATTACCATCCGAGGAAAACAACAGTTCTGGAATTAAAGCACCTTCATCAGAGTATATTATACCTGTCATCCAAAACAAAAATAATTTCTCCACTTTTAAAGGTGAGCTCATTGTCCTCGACAGCTTCAAAGTCATACAGAGCTCGCACCTTCCTGGCGTTCTGATTGTTTTGCTGGATTTCTGCAGATGGGTACAAGGATTTAGTTTCCATTTGTTGCTGTTTCTGCTCTTGCAAGGACAATTCGATAGCTACAAATAGAGGAGGGGAAAAAAAAAAAAACTTTGTATATTTTATCCCTGTATACAAAGGCAGTTTGCTTTCCTAATAAAAAGAAAAATATTTGCTGCTATATTATAAATATGGTCTGTATCTGCTTCTCTAATATTTTATATTTAATATATCAGCAGCTCATTAGCATGATCAGAAATACTGATAAATTCTTCACTGTGACAGCTGAGCAAGAGTAACTATATCCAAGAGGAGAAATAATAAAACATTCAAATGTTACGATTCCTGTTATTAAAGCATCGAGATGAAGGCTACAATAAAACCTGTGGGTGCAGAAGGGAAAAGAGCAAGCTCTCTGGAGAGAAAGCAGTCTAACGGCTACGTGATGGGGAAGAATTCCTCACCCCAAATCCTCATCCATGAGGAAAACACCTGGAATGACCCAGTTCACTAATTCCCACCCTGCTGTGCCCCTGCCTTCCCTTCTGTGCTGCAGAAAAGAGAACAACTTCCTATGTCTGTGCATTTTAACAAAACTTGGAGAGCACAAAGTCTAACCCAAGGCTGTGACAAGTGATTTACCTTTAGCTATATCTTCATCTTCTTTGTTTTTACTTAACGAGGAACCATTCTTAGCAGCATTTGTGGCAGCCTGCAAAATGTATTAACAGCAGAGTAAGTTCAGGTTGCAAAGGAAAAAGAACGCTCTATAATTCTATAACTAAAAAAGTGAGTAATAAGTTGTTCCTGGTTATCTGCCCCACTGCATTTCGATAGTGAATCAAGATGACCCTCCAGAACAAAAAACATTACTCTTCAGAATCTCAGCCAGGCTTTATTTTGCCATCAGCAAGGACCAGAGTAAAACAAATAATCAGATCTGATTAAAATAGCTGATCTCATTTAAATAATTATTTTAGTCTCATTTAATAAAGTGAGAGCACTCATTTAAATGACTGCTCTTTCCACCTTTGTCCTCCAGGCCTCCAACCCTCCCTTCAAAAGGGAGGAAAAGCTCTTTGGGGCCCTACGTCTGCAAAGACCCAAGTTATTAAGCAGCAGCTGGACAGGCTGAAAAGGGAGATTGCTCCCCGTATCAGAGCAAAAAGCCACCTTCTCTCTCTGTTAGTGGGACCACGGGAAGGAAAAGCAAATGCACATCAAGTTGGGAGCTGCTGAGTTAAACAGGAATCTCCATAACAGCCCAGTGAAATCATTCTCAGAATTTTCATTACGACAAGGAAGTCTTCCTGCACATCCCAGTCCGACACTAGCTGTGTCTGGGACTTACCAGTGGTCCTCAAAAACAACTCTGCACAAGTGTAGCAAACACCAACAACCTCAGCTTTGCTTGTTTGAAGTGAAGCATATGAGGTAAAAACATCAAGATGTCATTTTATATGTATTTGTAGGAAAGAAAGCATAACTGGTTGCCAGTACTCTACATCTTCCATGTTTCTGCCATATGTTTTAACACATATCCTAGATTTAGAAGTGAAAACATCTTTGTGGAGGAAGGAAAGATTGTAAAAGTAAAAAAAAAAAACCCTCTGTTTAATCCAGAGAAAAGTAAACTTCATGTAAGGAATATGTAATAGAAGCTGCAGGTCTAATTTTCAGGACTGATCTTCACCTGACTCACAATTAATGAGAAAACACTTAGAAGCATCAATAATAGAGCATAGAAAAAACCACCTGTCATCAAAGATTAGGCACAATACACCCCCAGAAGTAAAATACAAAGGGTGAGGTTAGGGATTGGAGCACCTCCTGCAGAGCCAGGACAGTTCCTGACATGGACAGGTAACAGCATGAAGAAGGAAGAGTAGAAAAGGAGAGCACAGCACAGATCAGCTTCACAAGTGTCTCAGCTCCAGAAACTGCCCTTTGTCTTGTGAGACACTGGGAAGAAAAATGAAGGTATGTGCTCCAAGTCAGCAATTAGAATCATGAAACACCAAGTACAAAGTGTGGGCGTAGAATTGCTTCGATTTAAGGTGGTGACAGCTCAATGAAGCTCTAAAAACGATTGGAAGAAAAGAAGGATCTGAAATGAAACAGCTCATAAGGGCATCAGGAAATAGCCTTTAGCCTGTTCTCAGGAAAGCGAGGACATAGAAAAGCAGAATGAACAGAAGTGAACCTCAGTGTAAGGAGGCACCCAAACGAGAACGAGCACGGCACTCTCTTCGGGTGGAAAGCACAAAAGATCTCATTTGGACAGATTTTCATTTTGTTCTCTGCCAGGAACACTGAACCCAACAGTGCTGTGTAACCCACATCAGCTCTCACCTGTGATCCAGCTGCAGGGAAGGTTACACCTTCTTCTTTTAAAGATTTAATTGTTGCAGATATTAAGCTACATTGAGGGTCTTTCTGAAATTCCTCCGACCACTCCACCATTAGGGTTTTTAGCTTCTCACTCACTTTCGGATGAGCCTAGAAGACGAAATTGCATAGAAAGGGATGCTTTACCTCAAAATGAACAGAAATAGCTGTTCCCTCTCAGCAACACTTTGTTACCAAAACCAGTTTACTATAAATATCCTCAATAATTAATAATTGTCTTGATTAAGAAAATCTGGAAAAGAAAACCCAGAATATATGGATTTTTATGCAATGATTCTGACGTTCCACACAGTGTGCTTGGTTTCTGGAGCACCACCCTTTTGTTGGGAAGCTGCCACAGCTGTTCCCAACACCGTTACCCCAGCGCAGCCGCGGCCTGCAGGTAGTTCAGATTCCCCTGATTCTCCCAAACAACTGGTTATTCAAAATCAGGGCTCCTTCAACCCTCACAGCAACCCTCAGAGGCAAATTCCCTTCACAACCAGAGCTCAGATCTTGCAGGCAGCTCACCTACTTATACTGCTATTATTTTAGTGGCGTCCCATTTAGGGGGTTAAGGACCAGTTAAGGCAAAAGACTGACAAACTTTTTGACTTTGCAAATGTTAGCCATGTTTCCACCTCAATACTTTTAGAGAGACTAATTCAGGCTATCACACTTACACCAATTTTTCTGCATGCACCTCTGCGTTAGTTACCTTCCATTTTACCTCAACTTTCTCTCCATTACTTCTAATTTGTATTGTTATTCCCCTCCCAATCATCTCAGTTGGTCCAATATAAGATAGTCTTTTCCTACAAGACAATACCCCTCCACTACCATTTATGACCTCTGCTGTATTCTCCTCAGATGTCAGAACACATTTCTCCTTGTGGCTTCTCACAAAACCCCGATCTTTGTGCCATCTCTGTACACACGTGTGTATGTATGTCTCCTTGGTTCAGATTCCCTCCCAAAAAGGAATTACACATTAAGACAGACCTCATGGGACAGTCTATACTATTAGCTCCTGAATTAGGACTGGAGGTGCAGGGACAGGCTGGTAAATGAAGATATTTCCTTGCAGCGGGGGCAAACCAAGATCAAGTTCATGCTCTGCCTGCAATTCCTCTGGCTCCCACATTCCCCTCTAGCCTCTTGCACAAAAGAGCCTCTACAGCTCATCCACAGGATTTACAACCGCTGGAAATCCACAGAGGATCACGATTTCATTCAACACTGCAAATTTCACGGGCTAACAACCTCACCCAGTGTGATAATCCACCTTGAGAAAAGCAGGTCAGAGTCATGCATCACGCTACCGTATGGTTAGAGAATACCCTTCGGAGTATACCTCAGTCACATTAAACATCAGCTGCTGTTCACCCTGTAATAGCCTTCAAAAGATTATTGGAGCACAAAAGAGCTGCTCTGTTGAAGAGTTGTTAATATACATGAAGGTCGTGCCATCACCGTGAGGGCCAAACATGGACCGAAGCTCTTCAGACCCAATGCGCTTCCTGGTTTGGTTTGAGAGTTGATGAAAAGACTATAGTTTGAACCCAAAGGATCCAAATAAGGGCTCTGGGGGTGCTGGGCTCACCTACATCTCAGGTCTAATTTTCAGGACTGATCTTCACCTGACTCACAATTAATGAGAAAACACTTAGAAGCATCAATAATAGAGCATAGAAAAAACCACCTGTCATCAAAGATTAGGCACAATACACCCCCAGAAGTAAAATACAAAGGGTGAGGTTAGGGATTGGAGCACCTCCTGCAGAGCCAGGACAGTTCCTGACATGGACAGGTAACAGCATGAAGAAGGAAGAGTAGAAAAGGAGAGCACAGCACAGATCAGCTTCACAAGTGTCTCAGCTCCAGAAACTGCCCTTTGTCTTGTGAGACACTGGGAAGAAAAATGAAGGTACGTGCTCCAAGTCAGCAATTAGAACCATGAAACACCAAGTACAAAGTGTGGGCGTAGAATTGCTTCGATTTAAGGTGGTGACAGCTCAATGAAGCTCTAAAAACGATTGGAACAAAAGAAGGATCTGAAATGAAACAGCTCATAAGGGCATCAGGAAATAGCCTTTAGCCTGTTCTCAGGAAAGCGAGGACATAGAAAAGCAGAATGAACAGAAGTGAACCTCAGTGTAAGGAGGCACCCAAACGAGAACGAGCACGGCACTCTCTTCGGGTGGAAAGCACAAAAGATCTCATTTGGACAGATTTTCATTTTGTTCTCTGCCAGGAACCCTGAACCCAACAGTGCTGTGTAACCCACATCAGCTCTCACCTGTGATCCAGCTGCAGGGAAGGTTACACCTTCTTCTTTTAAAGATTTAATTGTTGCAGATATTAAGCTACATTGAGGGTCTTTCTGAAATTCCTCCGACCACTCCACCATTAGGGTTTTTAGCTTCTCACTCACTTTCGGATGAGCCTAGAAGACGAAATTGCATAGAAAGGGATGCTTTACCTCAAAATGAACAGAAATAGCTGTTCCCTCTCAGCAACACTTTGTTACCAAAACCAGTTTACTATAAATATCCTCAATAATTAATAATTGTCTTGATTAAGAAAATCTGGAAAAGAAAACCCAGAATATATGGATTTTTATGCAATGATTCTGACGTTCCACACAGTGTGCTTGGTTTCTGGAGCACCACCCTTTTGTTGGGAAGCTGCCACAGCTGTTCCCAACACCGTTACCCCAGCGCAGCCGCGGCCTGCAGGTAGTTCAGATTCCCCTGATTCTCCCAAACAACTGGTTATTCAAAATCAGGGCTCCTTCAACCCTCACAGCAACCCTCAGAGGCAAATTCCCTTCACAACCAGAGCTCAGATCTTGCAGGCAGCTCACCTACTTATACTGCTATTATTTTAGTGGCGTCCCATTTAGGGGGTTAAGGACCAGTTAAGGCAAAAGACTGACAAACTTTTTGACTTTGCAAATGTTAGCCATGTTTCCACCTCAATACTTTTAGAGAGACTAATTCAGGCTATCACACTTACACCAATTTTTCTGCATGCACCTCTGCGTTAGTTACCTTCCATTTTACCTCAACTTTCTCTCCATTACTTCTAATTTGTATTGTTATTCCCCTCCCAATCATCTCAGTTGGTCCAATATAAGATAGTCTTTTCCTACAAGACAATACCCCTCCACTACCATTTATGACCTCTGCTGTATTCTCCTCAGATGTCAGAACACATTTCTCCTTGTGGCTTCTCACAAAACCCCGATCTTTGTGCCATCTCTGTACACACGTGTGTATGTATGTCTCCTTGGTTCAGATTCCCTCCCAAAAAGGAATTACACATTAAGACAGACCTCATGGGACAGTCTATACTATTAGCTCCTGAATTAGGACTGGAGGTGCAGGGACAGGCTGGTAAATGAAGATATTTCCTTGCAGCGGGGGCAAACCAAGATCAAGTTCATGCTCTGCCTGCAATTCCTCTGGCTCCCACATTCCCCTCTAGCCTCTTGCACAAAAGAGCCTCTACAGCTCATCCACAGGATTTACAACCGCTGGAAATCCACAGAGGATCACGATTTCATTCAACACTGCAAATTTCACGGGCTAACAACCTCACCCAGTGTGATAATCCACCTTGAGAAAAGCAGGTCAGAATCACGCATCACGCTACCGTATGGTTAGAGAATACCCTTCGGAGTATACCTCAGTCACATTAAACATCAGCTGCTGTTCACCCTGTAATAGCCTTCAAAAGATTATTGGAGCACAAAAGAGCTGCTCTGTTGAAGAGTTGTTAATATACATGAAGGTCGTGCCATCACCGTGAGGGCCAAACATGGACCGAAGCTCTTCAGACCCAATGCGCTTCCTGGTTTGGTTTGAGAGTTGATGAAAAGACTATAGTTTGAACCCAAAGGATCCAAATAAGGGTTCTGGGGGTGCTGGGCTCACCTACATCTACTTCCTGTGGCTTGTATGTGTAAGAGCCCAGGACTGCACGACTCAAGGTCTCTCACTCGAGTGCAGCTCAGGTCACACCATGAGCCTGCGTCTCACACGTAAACACGTGCTGAATAGGAAGAACGTTGCCAAGTCTGGGCTCAAGCATGTGTTGAATGGAAAGAGGAGATGTAGCTGGATACGCTCAGCAGCAGCACAAAGACATTTGTGACGCTTGTCTGAACTAATTTTCTTTTGGAGGAAAGGGAGAAAGTACAATTTTATCAGCCCTCTGAAGATTATTCCTCCAAGTGGGCCAGGGACTGGGGCAAAACGTAAGCGTTTCCCAAGAAGAAAACAAATTTTGCTCCAGTAGCCCATTCTTCAGTGGGATTAAAGGTTTGGTTTTACATCCACGACTGCTGTCAGACCATGAAGGTCAACGTTCTATTTCAGAATGGACCAGGGCTAATGAGAACAAAGGGGAGGACTTTAAGACCTATTTTTCCACACAAAGCGAGAAACAGAAGAGCCGTGAACTCATTTTGCTTCCCAGCAATTTTATTAGTTTCCTTAATTGCTTTGCTCCACCTCTGATGATTCCAGGCCTCCCATATATTTGAAGACTAACTTCTTTTTAACCCATTAGCCATTTTTGTCTTCAACTGGAGCAGTAATTAGGGGAAAGCTGTTGCTACTTATTCCATTCATGGCAACTAGATTTAAATCCCATCAGCTGCTTCACCCAAACCATTTAGGTTCAGCATTCTGAGAATCTCTGGACACTAATAAAGTTGTCTGAAAACTTTATCCTTTTCCTTGTAAAAACTAAGTTTAACTTTCTCACAGTTTTCCCTTTGCACTTCAGCCCATGAATTTCACTCAAGCCAAATAAAAAACTCTTCAAGAAAAGCTGCCTTCACCTCTATCAAATTAATTGAGCTTAGTAAGAGTCACAGATTTTAATTAAAATTGCTCATGTAATGTTGTAAAAATGGGGAGTAGGTATTAGCAACTTGTCAATTCTTGAATACATCATGTTTTCATAGTAAAAATTAAAGTACACAAATTTCAGTGATAAGACAAACAGCCAGCAGTATCTGCAACTGCAGCAAAATTAGAAAATGCATATTAACTACAGCATCAGTTTTGCCAAATCTTTGCTATGGTGAGAGAAAGCAAAGAAGTTACCAAAATAAGTCTCTCCCAGTGCTTATGGTTATAAAAAATTACCTTATTTATTATACTTCGAGCTTCACTGGCAAAATCACGAGAACATACTTCTAAGTGAAATATTTTTCCACAGTTTGATACACAGGCTCCTAAAAGCTGACAACAGAAAGACAATTGTGAAAATGCGTGACAACAATAAAAAGAATCCAAAATAAAAACATACATAAAAAGAGTTAAAATTTAATCCTTCGTTCAGCACGCACACTCTCACTGAGTGACAACAATAAAAAGAATCCAAAATAAAAGCATACATAAAAAGAGTTAAATTTAATCCTCCGTTCAGCACACACACTCTCACTGCCTGGAGAAATATGAAGGTATTAATTGATCATTACACATTTATAATAGCTGCCTTACATAAAAGCACACCAAGTTTATTGAAAATAGTGATATCCTACTCACTGTAAGCGCTTGCAAAGCCACATGGGGAACTTTGTGGTTTACTCTCTTCATGATGGCTTTAAGGCAATCCTTTGCTCTGAAAAAGGAAGACAGAAATTGCAAATGACAAACATGACTGATGTGATCTGCAGAACAAACGACGCCAGGTACTCGAGTTGGGTAAGCAAACAAAACTGGGTCTATTATAAAAAAAACTAATCTAACCTCAACTTTTCCCAGAGCTGATCTGGAAAATATATTGAACCTGTGTATTGCAATTGGAATAGACTCTGTTTTCACACTGGCATTTTGTATTAACGTCCATAAAACTGCTGACAGGTCATAAAGGGAGCAATTGCCATTCAGCTGCGGAAATTGACTTGAAATAGACAAGGAAAGAAATGTCAGTGATGATTAAATAAACGGTTATTTTATTGGCTGCTGTAAAGGGTCTCTACGGGTTTAATTTAAAAATCATGCTCACAGTTTGTCAGCTCTTGGATCCCACTTTCAAGACACTAAGGACACATAATTTTATAATTTGTTTCAGTACAATCCAAGATAAGTATAGAACAAAGATTAGCACCCCCAATGTTACTCTACTAAGGACTTTCATACTTAAAATGAGCATCAATGGCATGCACCAGGTACGCTGCCTGAGGCATATGTACTATTATTTTGCTCTTCCCCACTAAGGCTCTGGTTCCCTGATGACTTTAGGCAGGCACAAGTGAAAGCCACCAATAAAAATAGTGAATCAAACACCCACAGTCCCTTCCTACAGCCACGCAGTCCCTTTCCCTTCCCGAGGCTTCAGCAGTGCCTGGCTCAAGGAACTGATGTGGCTGAGCTTAGTCTTCAGCCAGATCCACCAGGAACCCATCACACGAGGGGTGAGGAAACACCTGACAACCCTCTTCAGTGCAACTTCTCTCTCCAGTCAATTTAAAGTCGTCGTGGAATCACAATCCTAGGCAAAGCTTAAAAAAAAAGCCTGTGCAGAAATGAAACCAAAGGTGTTTCATTGTTAACATGAAAAAAAATATCTGTTTCAGTGTATTGTGTGTACAGCAGGGAGGAAGATTTTATGCCCCTGTATTAATCAAGAGAAGAAACAGCATAATAAATAATGAATTACTGGCATTTATTATCAGTTTAAGTTGTCTATTTGAAATCAAATTGAATTTGAAATCATTGTCCGTTTCAAATCAATTTCAGAATTTAGGACTATAAACAATATATTTAATTACATAATATATAGTTATATATTTTGCACATGTAATTAAAAAAAAAAAACCCTAAATTTGTTTACACTCTCCTCTCCCCAAAGCATGTAGATTTAAAACAGTTCTGTCTACTAAAGTGTTTTGGCACTAAAAAAAATAAATAGATTTTTAAGAAAGGACTCAAAGGACATTCTATACTTTTTTTCTTCAGGACTAAAGATTACCAGTTGAATAGATCTGCTATTACTCCTCATGGGAGGTAATTAATAGAAAAAGAACCTTCTCAGTGTAGTTACCTTCAACACAGTAACCTTAAACATTACATATAACTGATAAAAATTCTACCACCACTTTAAGAATTCAGCCTAAGTATTAATTCCGATTTACTTCAAAATTTAAAAGAACTTATCTCTCAAAAAGATTACCTTAAAATTCAGCAAATACTTTCAGCCATTAAAGGATCCCTGAACTACCTCTCAGGCTAAACTGAATTACACTGATCTGTGTTTTGATCCCAATTTCCCTCCCTTTTCTCCTCCATCAGTCCCATTGCTCCTAATGAATAAACATAGGTTTCTCATCATAAATAGCTAACTGTCCCAGCCAGACAATCTTCTGCAAAGAAACTAGATCATTTTTTCCTGCTGGCACAGTTGCTTCTCGAAATGTATGCAAGATCATTAAATATGAACAACTTGGTCTACTGTGCAAAACTCCACAGAAATTGGAATGCTCTCAGCATATACACATTGCTCTACTAGAAATCCTGTCGGAATAGTTCTTTCAAAGAATTTTAAAGCCAACCACAGATCTCTGCAGAGCCTGCAGAAGTGTCAGATCAGGAGCACTTTTTGCATAGCTGACTCCACTGAGCGTTTTAAGACGCGTTCTCTCTCTGAAAGAGGATTCTTCACATGAAATTCCACGTTGTAAGGCTGAGACACAGCTTACCCATTAGGAGTACTTCCAACTTTGTCACATATATCCATAATGAGACCCCAGTCCTCACTGGTGTTGTATTCATTTGTAGCCTTTTCTAGAAAGAAAAACAAGCTTGATTAAGTGTAATGTCCTATTGAGTCCAGATTCTAGTCAACAAACACCGTCTCAGTCACACACAAAACAAAAAGACTCCGCATAAAAGGCACTGAGAGGCAGCATCTTCCACAGCTTGGGGGTGATCCTTGCTGTCTTGTGAAGTGTTATGTACCAGTTTTCTTATGGGCACTGGACTAACAGATGTGGTAAGTACTTAAAAGATCCAAAAATAGAAACAAATCCTGAGGTGTAATGTTCTAAATGATGAACAAGAAACTTCCTTGCTGTCTTGTGAAGTGTTATGTACCAATTTTCATATGGGAAGACCAGCACTGGACTAAGAGATGTGGTAAGTACTTAAAAGACCCAAAAATAGAAACAAATCCTGAAGTGTAATGTTCTAAACGATGGAAAAGAAACTTCCTGCACAGTGTGTTTAACTCCAGGTTGAAGTCCCAGCCCCAGTTTAGATTTGCTCAAGGTCTTCTAACATTTGCGTGCCATGAAGTATTTCACAGGGATGTTCCAAGAAAAAAACATCAAATCTCTTTAGGAGTCTAAAGGAAAGCCATCTCCTCGTTAAACACACTTAAATATTTTTTTCTACTAGATTTTTCAGGAAATCTAAACACCACAGCAAGTGTTGAGAAAAATGAATGGCGTGGAAGGATGGATAAAAAACATACAAGGGGCCAAGAAGAGACAGACTGCTCTATCCAAAGAATGTATCCCTAATTAGTATTTGCAGCATATCATCCTATATATTAACTGATAAGGTTTAATGTTATTTATTTGTGCTTTCCTTTTAAGTTTTTATTAAAGCCATGTTTTTTTAATCACATGTAAATACTACAGTTATATTAAAACAGCTTATAAATGGCAAATAAAGTATTTTATACACTGCATTTGCTGCCTTTGGATTTAATTTGAATGTACCAATTTAGTATTTTAACTAAATTCAAAGACAGGTGCTTTTTGATTTTTAAGTTAGATATTAATCCCAGCAGAATACAGTTCATAACCATGGCAATATCATAATCAGTACTTGTACAGAATTTTACTTTGGTAAGAGAAGCCACCTAATCCCTTTGGGATCGAGTATTTTAGACTGTTTAGCAGATTAAAGCAGAACATGATGGTCAGTCCCTACCAACACGATGGTGTTCTGTGACAGCAGCTGTTCCAAAAATCCCAAGGTTTGCTGACAGCAACACTCCGGCGGGATAAACCCAATGTCACATGTGCAATTAAGCATCTTCTCTTGCTAATGGGCTTCACTAGTGAGTTTTGCAGTCAAAAGTTGCAACAATGCTCGGGCTGGCTCAGCAGAAGGGCTTCCACAAAGAAAATGCAAGCAGAGCAGCCAACAGTGCCCCTAAAAACCTTGTGTTACAGACGTAAACACAGCCCAAGAAGGAGAAATAGGAATGAGCAATTTTGGCCACAGGTTATCTGCACAAACGAGACTACTTGGAGGAAACAAACAGTGCACTGAAAGCATGTTCCTACAGCAAAGACCTTCTTTAAAACTTACCCAGGAAGGACATAATTGTTAACATTTACTTTTAAGCGCATCAATATTTTTAAGGAGACTAACAGAAAATTCATTGTTCGTTCTTGAAAATAAATGAGTGCCGGCAATTTTAAAAACTTTAATGTTCAATTTCTTTAAAAAAAAAAAAAAAATCAAACCAAAAGAATCCCCATATGCCCATTTCCTGGCCATGTGAACCCTAAGTACTGAACAATCACAAAAGAACAGCGTTAACGCAATGGTTGGTGACAGAACTTCAGCTGGATGTTTCCTGTGAAGTTCCACCAGCTACAACTGCTTTTTAAAAGCACCACTGTGTACGTCTCCATCCCCAGGGGTGGGAATCCTCCCATCAAAACTCATCAGTCAAATGAATCCATCTCATCAAATGACAGCAGCCATGGGTTGTGAGCAGCCAACAGTAAAGAGCAAGAAACGGCGGCAGGTGAACAAAAAGGCACGGAAGCCAAGAAAAATTGAGGTTGGTTTTCACACCCAAGTGTTCAGAACCATAAAATGTCACCAGTGGTGGTGACCAACACTCCACATGGGCTCTTCCCAACCCTGGCAATGCCCACCAACGCAGGAGGATGCAACCCAGCTGAGAAACCAGGGTATGAAACCAAAAACCAAGATGACAGGTGTGACAATACCTATCTGGAGGATTCCTTCACTGGATGTGCCCAACTCGGCCTCCCAGCTGGGCCTATAGCATCCCGATGGGTGACACCCACACCTCAGGTGATTATGTCACACCTGTAAGCTTTTTTATCATTTCATACGCTCCAAAACCCCCAAACGTCCAAACTTTCCTCTTCCCACACTCCCTTCTCTCTCTACTACTCCCCTCTTAAAAAGGGAAACAAATCAAATCAGGTAATTTACTTTTGGAGAAGTTACCTCAAAAAAATGTAACTGCACCCACAACATAAACGCTAGAACAAAGCATTCTCTTCTAAAATATCACAGCCAAGAAACAAATTGAAATAGATACTTGGACACAAAAATATGCAGGAAATTGAAAACTACTTTGCCTGTTTAGAAGCCAGTCAGACCCAAGCTTGTAAACTGACACTGCAGTGCAAACCCGGCGAAACCAAGCTCTTTGCTTTGTACTCGCTGTCATGCAGATCCATAAAAAATACAGCTTCCCCACAAAAACTGCCAGGTAAGGAACGGGGTCAAACAAGTGCAGTGGTGCCACGTGGTGGGACTCCAGCTCCTTCAGCCTGCCAGAGGCACCAATAGCTCTCCCCCCTCCATGAGGCTGGTTATGTAGAGAATCACAGAATGGTTTGGGTTGGAAGGGACCTTAAAGCCCACCCAGTGCCACCCCCTGCCCTGGGCAGGGACACCTCCCACCACACCAGGTGGCTCCAAGCCCCCTCCAACCTGCCCTTCAACCCCTCCAGGGATGGGGCAGCCACAGCTTCTCGGGGCAACCTGGGCCAGGCTCTCACCACCCTCACACCAAAGAACTTCTTCCCCACAGCTCAGCTCCATCTCCCCTCTTTCAGGGTAAAACCCTTCCCCCTCCTCCTCGGGCTCCCCTCCCTCATCCAGAGTCCCTGGAAGGGGCTCCAAGGTCTCCCTGGAGCCTTCTCTTCTCCAGGCTGAATCCCCCAACTCTCTCAGCCCCCCCTCCCAGCAGAGGGGCTCCAGCCCTCCCAGCATCTCCGTGGCCTCCTCTGGCCCCTCTCCAACAGCTCCATGTCCTTCTGCTGTTGGTGGCCCCAGGGCTGGAGGCAGCACTGGGGGGAGTGTCTCAGGAGAGCAGAGCAGAGGGGTAGAATCACCTCCCTACGTAGACACAAGTGTCGCTTCTGTCCTCTACAAAAACTCAGAGGCACTTGCCAGAGGACATATGAGAGTTTTCCTTAGAGGAAATCACAATCAGCTTTGCCTGCCATGACAGAAGCTGTCCCATGCCATCCCAATCAACTCTTCCACCGTCCACAGGAAAGCTTGATGTTTACCAAGCTTCACTGAGAAGTTTTGAGCTCCACACCTTCTACCTCCTGAGGATCAGCAAAGCTACCAGAACGCTGAGCTCTACTCCCAGCTCCTGTGCTTTTCCTCCTCTCCCCCAGCCAGCACGTTGGCACATGGAGGCTCATCAAACACAAAAATCCTTCCTCTTGCTTCCACGCAGCCTGTTCTGGGAGCAGACACGGTCCCGGTGAGAATACGAAGGCTGCCCTACGGCAAACTCTTACAACTTTCTTTCCTGCCAACATGACAAATTTAACAGCATCTGGTCTTTTTGCTTAACATGAGCTCCAGCAGAAGAATAATCTTGAAGGATAACTACTTCACGGATGCCAAGCCATGGACTTTGATCAGAAGAAACAGATGTGAGAGGATGCATTTTCCAAGATCTTTTTCAGTGCTAAGAGAATATAAGCTTTAGGAAAATGACTTACACTCTGCAGCCCTCCAATTAATGAAGGAATACTAGACTTGAGTTTACTTTTACAGAAATAAAGACAAAGGCAAAATACGCTGCTTTTTATCGCTGCCTGGTATATTTTTAAAAACTCACAAAGAATAAAAAAACCCCACAATTAATCATTTTTGACTGGATCAGTTCCCTGATCCGATTGGCCATGCAGCTGCATAAAAAGCTATGCCAATGCAAGAGAGGAGATAGCACTAAAATGAGCAGCTGGGAAGGGGATGGGAAGCGTTTGCTGATACTACTGCCAAAAGAAGAAATGCTTGTCAAGCCTCTGCCTTCAAACAGCCACCAGCTCTTCCAGAAAAAAAGGTAAAGCTTCACCACAGCATGAGAAAGTTTTTTAGGACTCTCTCTCTCTACCACACAACATCTATAAGGAGAGCTGACTGTTGCCCTTCCCAGCCTAACTGCATTCAATCTTCTCCTCTTTTTTGCAAGGAAGGGACGGGTAATACATGGAAATAAGACCAAAAGCCAGGAAACAAAATACTCTGAGGACTGCAACTGGGCAACACGTGGCAATCCTCCAAAGCCTCCCTGTTTACATCTTTTCAAACATCGAGTCCTCCGTCTCTGAAGATGTTGGCATGGAGTCAAAGTGTCCCAGATGGGCACTCATAATGAAGTGTGCTACTGCACGGTCACTCTTACCGGCCTGGAAACACCACGGCGCTGGGATCCCTCAGGAATGTAAATGCAAAATTTTATTTATTTCCAATAAAACGCAGAAAATTCAATGGGTATGTCTAGGATCTACCTATACTCACAATGGCAAGGAAAACAGCAAGAGCATCCAGGGAAATCTTAAAATACCTTTGCATGTTCATGTAGGAAGAAAAGAAAGGGAATTGCGAGAACCTCACAGCCCCCAGAATCCCCCAAGAATGACACATGCACCCCAAAAGTTCTGTGGAAATCTCTGCCAAGGTACCAAACGTGATGCTGTGATTCCTACCAAAGCACATCACACTGATACACAGCACAAATCTCTCTGTGCGCTTCTGCTGGAAACCTATATCCCATTTAACATTAGCATTTGACACCGACACAGTGAAATCAGCAATCCTGGTCTGGTGACAGCCCTACCTCTATGCTGCCTAGCACATGTGACCTTCAAACTTACAAAATATTTGGTATTTCAGTCCTGAATTCCCTGGGGCCAAGCTTGCCTACAACGCCAAATAACACATCAGTTAAAAAATACTAGAACATAACTTTTTCTTCCACCTGCGTCAATTTCTGTGCTAGAAACAGAGAGAAAACAAACCCTCAAGCACTGATTGAGCACAAAGAACTTTCCAATTTGATACAGCATTTGCTAAAGACTGTGGTCATTAAAAGAAAAATTTTCTAGAGACAGATTTGCCCCTCAAAGCTATGTGAAATAAAATCTCGTCTGCACATAGATATTTCAACTTTTACACAAAGCTATTCTAAGTATGTAAAAAAAAAAAGAGTTCATCTATAAAAAGTGAAAAATAGAAAGAAATAAGTTGAGGACTGCCCCAGACTGCTGTTTTTCAGAAGATCAAGCAGAACCACGTGGATGAAAACCAGAAATTTAATCCCACGCACCTTCGTTTGTTTACTTTGCCTTTGTATAGCCAAATTAGAAAATTCCAGCTTTGATTTAATTAGTGACTGTAGACACGATGACACTACAGTCATATGACTTGCATTTCCAGTAACACTGCACGGCCCTTGCCGAAAAAGCAACCCTAATTGTAACAATCCCAGGTCCCTACTCGTGTCACTGAATATTATATTCTAAAAAAAATTGGATCAAAGTGGAATATTAAAATAACTTTTTGTGATCTAAGTCCAGTTCACGGAGAAGGCCTTTTGAGATACAACTTTTGCTGAAAGAGCAAGTCTGACGTTTTGTTTCATTGAGTCAGTTGGCCAATAACCTGAAAAGCAAGCAATTCTGTTTGTCAGACAATCTGCAAACTACAAGAGAAACATTGAAAAGACCAGAGAGTGATTAACAGAGGCTTGGAATCTAGAGCCTGGAAAGCATCAAAAAGAAAGTTACCAGCAATTGATTACTATGTAACAAAAACATCCCTCAGAATATAATTAAAAACAAAAAAAGTGAGGCTACGATCTTATGTTTAACATAAGGTAAGGGGAAAAGTAAACCCTTGAGAACTGGATTAGGTAGAAAAAGGTAATAGTAGGACAAAACCTTATTAATGCCTACAAGTATCTCAAGGGTGGGCTGAGGGAGGAGGGAACCAGACTCTTGTCAGTAGTTGCCAGTGAGAGGAGAAGGGGCAATGGGCACAAGTTGGAACATAAAGGGTCCACTTGAATATGAGGAAGAGCTTTTTCACGGTGAGGGTGACGGAGCCCTGGAAGAGGCTGCCCAGGGAGGGTGTGGAGTCCCCTTCTTTGGAGATTTTCAAGCCCCACCTGGATGCTCCTGAGTGGCAATATCTGACATGCTCTGGGTGGTCCTGCTTTAGCAGGGGAGTTGGACTAGATGATCTCTATGGTCCCTTCCAACTCTAAAAATTCAGTGAAATTCAGTGAAAACGCAAATTCAAATTCAGTGAAATTCAGTAAAATTCAGTGAAAATGCAAATTCAGTCAAGAAAAGATCCTCCTAGAAATGAAGTGCTTGGCAGTTGGACACGAGAGGAGAATGATGATTATGCCAAGTTCTAGCACAAGGGGACACAGGCCACCAAGGTAAGGCAGCCACAGAAAGGCAAATACAGTCCTAGAATGAGACACAGCAGTAAACAGCTCAGCGAGGCACAAGGAAACATGCAATGCTATCACAGGAGTTATCAGCAATCCATGATACGACGTACAATTCTGGCTGCCAGTCAAGCTACACTGAAAAATACTTCCTACTCCCTTGATCACGTCAACAGCCTTATGAAAGAAGGCTAACTAAACAAAAGATGAAAGGGAATAGGCTTGTTCTCTATTGAAGGAGCAACCACTTAAGAGATGAAGGTTACTTAAGAGGAAGGACAGCGCTGGGAAAACAGCAAGTGCACATGAACTAACCACGACTAGATTTAGACAGGAAATTAAAAAGCTTCTAACACTCTAAAGAACTGAAGTTTTGGGGTATCCTCTCGATAAGAAAAACAGATGAAGGAAACCACACTCCTCTAAAACACTATTCCATAGGTTAATCTTGCGACGCTGCAGCTAGACACAAAGCAACCAAAGCGGATGCCAAGGAATTAAGACTCTGATGAAAAGCAAACACAGGGGTTTGATGAAGGAAACCACACTCCTCTAAAACACTATTCCATAGGTTAATCTTGCGACGCTGCAGCTAGACACAAAGCAACCAAAGCGGATGCCAAGGAATTAAGACTGATGAAAAGCAAACATACGGGTTGAGAACCAAGAAAACAAAACCAGCTGTGGCCAAGCAAAAGAGCACTGATCTAGACAAAAGTGCCCCAAGAAAAAGAGCAGTACTAGATGGATGGTCTGAAGAGAGAGCTGGATCAACCTCATTGCTCGCTGCTAACGAAGCAGGGTCCTGTTCTTCCCATTCACCTTGGCAGGGGTGTCCTGCTCCTCTTCCTCACTGCCATTTCCCAGCCTTTGCCAAGCAGATCCAAGTCACCAAACTTCCAAACTCATTGGTTTCATAGATGATCCAACTCACAAGCCTAATACTTTCTTCTGCCAAATTAGTTTTTCACTGAGAAGAGCTGAATCAGCTCAAGGGTGTAGCAAAAAAACCCCACAAAACTACTGGGTAGATGGGGCCATGGAAAAGGATCTCTCCTTTCTGGTAGCATGAGGCCACCAGCTGGGCTCAACTCTTTTTGTGCTATGCCCCCCTTTTTTTTTTTTAAACGAAAAAGAAAACAAAATGTAAAAAAAGTTAAATCCTGACAGATGCATATTAAAAGCATGGAAAAACCCCTCACGTAAATGCTGCAAGTTAAAGTACAGACCACCCACATTAGATATTCTAGATAGTCTAATTTACAACAGAATAGTAACTTTTTTAAAAGCTCCTAATGGCAAACAGAATTTTTTCCTGGCAAGGGACTGTAAGATTTGGCCTCAATAATTACAAAGTTCCTACTCTGTTGCATTTGTTTAATTGTAGCAAGTGCAGACACTTACACTCAGTGTATACAAGGCAAAATGTAAGAAACTGCATGTGGAGAGGGTGCCACTTTTGAAGTATTACAATCTTGAAGTTCTTGATGCATTTAGTTTTGCCAAAGAACTGTGCCCAGCTGCAAGAGTCCCCAGTTCAAAAAGTCTCCCCTTGTGCAAATACATTAGTTAGAGCCACGTGAAAGATAAGTCCAGCAAAACACACAGAAAACTTCACAGGGTGTTTGAAATAACTGGACTGTGCGTAGCAAGTTCCTACTTTCATTTCCATCGTAGGTCAACGTTAAAAACCTCACAATGGTTTGTGAAAAGATAAAGAAGAAGGGGAATGGGAATGACACAAATTTTGCTGACACATTAAGAAAACAGTGCAACTTATACCCAACAGAGAAGAGATGGTGTGGTAACAGCAGCTCTCACAACAGCCATCTTTGTACTTCCCCAGCCTTGACAAAAATCCCAAGAATGTTGAATTCTTCTCTTACCTAAAATGCCAGTGTAACAATAAATGTAAATCTGATCCTGGTATCTACCTTAATTTAATTGCTTCTTCCAGTGTTTTGATTCAGAATAGCCATTGTTTAAAAAAAAAAAAAAAAAAGAAAAAAAGCAACACACAGAGCAAGTTTGATGCTCAAGAAGGCACAGGACAGAGCAGAAGCACAGGTCAAAACAACTGAGTCATCATCTTCCTCCTGTCAATGGCACCAACTCCAGCTGGAGTTGCCTCACGGTTTCGTAATGCGAATAAATGTCTGCTCAGGCTTAACCTGATGCCCCCAAATCAGCCTTAGGTGACGCCTTGGTATTATCAGGTACTGAAAAGGGCATAAAAATGGGTTCCTAGTGATGTTAATAGAGCTGGTTTTCACCCTGGAGTTCTCCCCCAAAGGGACATGCTCACAGGCCACTGTAAACCCACTGCCCCGAGCAACCCACCGTGACAGGGAGGAGGTAACAGCCATCCCAAAGGCTGGGAAACTACAGCCGTTTCAGCCCCAGTGGCCACAAACACCCCCCGAAGCCGCAAAGCACCAAGGGGGCTGCCCCACCGGGCCCCTTTCCCGGTCAGAGCCGCAGAGGGCGGCCGGGACAGGCCGGGACGGCGGCAGGACCCCCGGTAATCCTGTCAGAAAACACACCGGCTTTCCCCTACAGCTTGGCGGCGGGACCCTCACCGAGCAGGCCCGGAACGGCGGCCTCCACCGCCGGCCGACGTTACTCTTTCCCCCTCAGGAGCTCAGGGCCCCGCCGCGGGGAGGAGGAGGCCGCCGCCACCCCGTCAGGCACCGGCCCAACCACCGCCACAACCACCACCCGCCCTCCTTCCCCGGTGTCCCGCTGGCTCACCCACGTCCTGCTCGAAGGGGTTGGGGGCGAAGAGCGGCATCTCGGCAGCGCCCTCCCCTCCTGCCCGCTCCTCAGCCCCGCGGCCGCCCGACCCGCCGCCGCCCCGCCGCCGCCGCTGCAGGACCCCGAGGCTGCCCCGCCGCGCCTGACCGCCGGGAGGAGCAAAACGCCACAACAACACCCTGACGCCGCGCCGGGCGGTGGCGGGGGTGCTGGAGGGAGGCGGTACCGCCCGGTAGGGCGGGGAGGAGCAGGCGGGGGGCCGCGGCGGCGGCGGAGGCGCGGCGGCATCAGGCGCTCGCTCGGGCACCCCTGAGCGGCGGGGGCCTCGCGGGGAGGCGGGGCTACCCACTCTGGGGGCAGGCGCCGTCGGCGGGCGCCATCTTGAGGCGGGGGTTGGCGGGAGGGTTGGCGGTGTCCTAGTACCTCTTTACCCCGGGCAGCCGCCTTTGCTCGATATTTCCCCTTCCCAATTAAAACCCGATGTTAAGAGCTGCCTGGGGGCACGGGTTTTGCTGCCTCGGTGGGTGTGGGGAGGGGTGACGGGCGGGGGAACGGCGCCCGGTGGTGTGGGAGTGTGGCTGAGGGGAGGGGAGGGCTGAGGAGATGATGGTTGGGGGTGAGGGAGGTATTGGGGCTGTGCGGCTTGTGGGGTGTGTGGGTGAGGGGGGATTGGGGCTGTGCGGCTTGGGGGGCGTGTGGGTGAGGGGGGAATAGCCCATCCTGAAGGATGCAGCCCACAGGCAGGGAGGGGAAGCTCCCCCAAAAGCCCCTCTCTGAGGGTTCCTGAGGGGCTCCTGGCCTTGTGACAGCCATCACCGAGAATCACTTTCGCTTATTGTTTAGGTACTTTTAGGGGAAAAAAAACCAAACCAACAACCTGGAAATGACAGGATTACAGTATTTTGAAGGACTGAAAATCTTATGTTCCATGGCACTGCTGTAAAACATATTTCTTCTTTGCCTTCTGTCAAATGCTAGGAAGTTCTATTTTTGAACCTGGTTCATTTATGAAAAGTGTTCACTCATGAAATGCATTCTTAGTACGTTCCAGGCCAGATTGGACAGGGCTCTGAGCAACCTGATGGAGTTGAAGATGTCCCTGCCCAGGGCAGGGGGTTGGACTAAATGGTCTTTAAAGGTCTGTTCCAACCCAAACCAGTCTGTGATTCTATGATTCTGTCAAAAGCTGGTTGCAGGCACCCAGGAGCTGCACCACTGCCCGGTGTACCTGCTTTCTCTGGGGGGTAACGTGACTTCAAATGAACTCGGGCAGGGGGTGAGTCAGTGGTTTCACACCCGGTGCCGTGTGGTTTTTGGAATATGCAGACTCATACGTTTTAGAGCCGTGTCTTGGAGCAGTCGTGAGCCTTACTCATAGTCACGGTCGTGTCAGCGCATTAGTCAGAGCCTATTTTTGACTTCCTCCATGAGAGAACTTGTGGAAAGGTGAGCAATACAGTAACTGCATTTCTGTTGGAGGGCTTTGAAAGTCCTTTGAACAAGACTCCTGAAGGATTTCTGTATGATTCAGTGATGCTTTTCTTCCCACTCATCTCGGGGTTATGGGGCTCTGGTTTTTTCCTCAGCTGCGATATGCAAGTGTAAAAACTTAAGGTAAAAATTTCAGTTACATGCGTGAAATGCAATTTTTAGCGTATTTTGTAAGGAATTTTAGGTTACATATTAGAAGATAAATTTGATTTGAAGAACACACAGATGTTTCTTCCAAACTGATGGCAGAGTTGTTATTTCTGGAAGGTTTTGTACATCAGAAGCATTTCTTTTAATTCACCTGGGGCCTACAGTGGCACACTATTATCAAATGTACCGTGGTTTTTCTTTGATTATGAAATCTCATTAGCGGATCCCTCACCCGGCTGTAGCCAGTCTTGCCTCTGGGATGGAATTCCCATTTTGTTCCCATTTTCCAGGGTTTGAGGCAGTCTGCAGGTGGCACCATTGTCCCACGTTCAGGGCCATCGTGGCCCATCCCGAACACGCTGCTGGGAACGAACTCTCTCGTCACATTTTTTAAGGCAAAATGGAGCGCCTTTCCCTCAGTCTTAAAATTTACTAATTACATCGAAACTTACAATTTCACTTTAATGAATCAGACCAAATGAAAACGGCACTAATTTGTTTAATTGCTTCAAAAAGGAAGGGTGAATCAATATGTACAGCAAGGCAATAAACACTAATGTTGTCTGGCTGAAACAGAAAGTTGGGATGAGTTCTCTTATGATTCAAGACAATGAGTTTTCCCGTTTATTAACTCCAGCTCCTTTCCCCCCCCTCTGCAGCATCGTGTGTGGTGCAGGAATCCCAGCAGCTGCATGTGTGAGTAAATGGGGAATTTTTACAGTTCTTCAAGTCCTGTAGCTTTGGTTTTGTCACCTTAGTATTGAACTAAATGTCACATCTTCTGTTATGTTTTTTCTGGTTTTTTATCTGGTCGTGGTGGGACGATGCATCCGAGATGTGCTGTCCCTCCCAGCAACGAGGGGCTGGGCAGGACCCACCTGTGCTGAGTCGTGTAGGAACAGAGAGCCCAGAAGCATCTACAGAACTTCTGCTCTAGGTGACAAAAGCCACAGGACATTTACAATGCAAAAACCTAAATCCCACAGTAAATTAGAAAATCCATAGTCATAATAAGACCCGGGAAGAGAAAAGAAAATATTAGGGTGCTGCCTGTTATCCCGAGTCCTGCAGGAACAGACTATTGATTTAGGAGAACTCCTAGGAAGTACGAGAGAAAAGGACAGAAAAATAGGTATTAAAAAAAAAAAGGTGATTTCTAAACCTGTTTTTGCAGACTCTGGATCTGGTGATCTCTTTATCCCCGAGTAGGGAGCAGCCCGTGCCCCCGTGTCTCGGATGTTTTACCATTGTCAGGAGGAGCTGCAGACTCTGGTGTACATATTAGTGACCCTGGGGCTTTGTAGGAAGTCAGTGCCTCCCCCTCCTCATGGCTGATCTTTCCCCCACTACTTTTGGAACAATGTGTTGTCATAATATTTAATCTCAAGCCTTAACTTCTGTAACATGTTTTAAAGGACAATTTATATTGTCCGAAGTGGACACTTTGGTAACTATCCGGAAGCTTTTTCCTAGTCCACAGAAGCAGCTGCTAAAGCTTCTGGCTTTGTTTTGTGTCTGACTGGATTCTCTCTATTCCTCCAGCTGCCCTCTAGTTTACTTTGTGGTTTGCTGAAATATTTTATTCCTCTTTTTTTTTTTTTATAGTGGACTCTCTCCCCTGGTGCTCTGTGTGGGAGTCACGCAGACAGGGAAACTGATTAAACAGAGAAGTGCTGAAAATAATTCTGTAGAAGGCATTTCAAGATGTACACGAGGGCTCTCTCCCCCTCAGTTCTTCTGATTTTATTGTTAGGTGATGCTCATGACGAAGGAAGTTGGTGAGAATCATGCTCTTTAAAGTGTTAATATTCTGTGTTTTTACATCTCTGCTCAGCAGATGAATAAACTTGGAATCTGCCGTGCCCTTGCATGAGAAATGATGCTGCATTAAACAAGTATGGAAAAGCTTGTGCGTTTTTAATAACAAATCCTACCGTACACACAGTCTGATGCCGCTTAAATGGAACACGCTCTTACTCTTTAAAGGCTTTGATTCATTATTGTTAAGTTTTCTTTGGCTTTTGTTATTCAGCTCAGGCGCTTGTTTCCTCATAAAAGCTTCTCAGACACTTTTTCATGCGCGGCTGTTGCGGCACCCTTGGAAACAAGTTGATGTTGTTAACTGGAATATGGGGCTTTTTTTGTAATCATAGATTTTGTTTTCTTTTACCTGTTGTTACGCAGAGGGGTTCTTCTTTCTTGCATGGAGGAGAAAGAAGGTTTTCCCCACTCCCTACATGCACAGCACCCACCCAGCCTCTGCATCCAGCAGTCGCCCAAACGCAGAGAGGCAATTTCAAGGGCTAAAGACCTGCTTAATGGACCTTGCGCTGAGGGTCTTCGCATCTCCTGCCAAATATATCCTCTGCCAGGGCAGGGTTGTGCCAACAGGATGGGTAGCTCCTTCTGGAGCAGGCAGAAGACCCAACCTCTGGATATTTCTCCATGCGCTGCCTGGCCCTGGCATAGGTTTTTATATGGGAATGTTGTGGCTCCTTTGGCCACGGTTCTCGACTCCCTGTTTCTAGTAGGGAACTCTGCAAAGAAGTGTCTAGCACTGTCTAAGGCCTTGGTCCATGAGTCTTTGGAGATGTTTTCCCAGCGGTGTAGGCTTCTGAGGGTGCTTACAGCACTCTGCAGTGGTATGTGAATGTCTGTCACCTGTAGTGCCTGTGAGAGGGGGGAGCTCAGACAAGAACATGGAGCTGGGGCATCACCTCCTCCTCTGGTGGGGCTCACCATGGTGGAGAAGCTCCGGTGTGGTGGGGCTTACCATGATGGAGCTGCTCCTCTGTGCTGGGCTCACCATGATGGGACAGGTCCTCTGTGCTAGGGTTTGCTGTGGTGGAGCATGTCCTCTGTGTTGATGTGCACCATGGTGGAGCAGCTTCTCTGTGCTGATGCTCACCATGGTGGAGCAGCTTCTTTGCCTTGATACTCAGCATGGTGGAGCAGCTCCATTGCCTTGATGCTCACCATGGTGGAGCAGCTCCTCTGTGCCGATGCTCACCATAGAATCATAGAATTGCCCAGGCCGGAAGGGACCTCCAAAGGCCATCTAGTCCGACCTCCCCGCAGTCAGCAGGGACACCCCCAACTAGACCAGGTTGCCCAGGGCCTCGTCGAGCCTCTCCTTGAATATCTCCAGGGAAGGGGCCTCAACCACCTCCCTGGGCAACCTGTTCCAGTGCTCCACCACCCTCACAGTGAAGCAGTGGAGCTCTTTTGCCTTGATGCTCACCATGGTGGAGCAGCTTCTCTGTGCCGATGCTCACCATGGTGGAGCAGCTCCTTTGCCTTGATGCTCACCATGGTGGGGCAGCTCCTCTGTGCTGGGGCTTGTGGTGGAGCAGCTCCTGCCCATTTATTCTTTCATGGCAGAGGCAGGTGGATCAGGCTCATTCTGGGACCATCTTCCCTACCCACCTTTCCCCCCCAGCCTAAGTGCTCCAGTAA